TACCAACCATGTTTCACACCTTAAGTGGATCAGAATTAAAGGTAGAAAATAAAACCATAAAAGTACTAGAAGAAAACCTGGGAGAAACCCGAAAACCTTAAAAAGAAAACAATGACTAACTCAAACACATAAAAATTTTAAAGTTAAGACAGGGCTGCGGCTCAGAGGTAGAGCACTCAAACTCACCTAGCATGCATGAGGCCTGGGTTCGATCCTCAGCACCACATAAAAATAAAATAAAGATACTGTGTCTACCAATAACTAAAAAATGAATATTAAAAAAATTTTAAAACAAATGATAAACTGGAGGAAATATTTCCAGCTCACATTTTAAAAGACTAACCTACTTAATATGTATATCTCTACAAATTAAAAAAAAAAATCAATAGTCTTACTGAAAAATTGGCAAGGGATATAAACCAGGTAGTTCACACAGAGAAATAAACGCAAATGGCTCTGCATTCTTTACTATGAAAACATACTTTACTATGAAAACACACTCAATATGAGGACTGCAAATCCAGCCTTCACAGAGATTCCACTCTTCACCCACAAATTTAGTAAAAATCAAAATGTCTGAAAACGCTGTTAGTAAGCAAGTGAGGAAACAATTTCTCTAGTTCATTGCTTATGGAAAAGTAAAGTGTTATGTTCAGAGACCAGTTTAGCAATATCCATCAGTTATGAAGAGTTTTAGCACCCTTCTAAATCTAGGTTTCCACCTTTGGGAAATGACCCATTAATAGGAGATGTGTTAAATAAATTATGATACATCCATATAATGATCACAAAGAGCCATATGAACAAATGAAGTAGCTTTATACCCGATCTCTCAGATACACAAAATATATATTTCTATAAAGCAAGATAAGTAGTATAGTACAGTGTACTTGTAAAAGACAGAAAAGATTTTTTAAAAGATGAAAGATTTCTACATGGAAAAAAGTGAAGTTGGACCCGCTCTATACACAATATTAAAGAATTAAAATCAAATCATATATAAAAATTACCTCAAAATGGAATTTCTATGTAGGTATGTAAATATGAAAGACCTATATAAGAGCTAAAACTATAAAACTCACAGAAGCAAACAAAGCACAAACCTTTGTGACCTTGGATTAGGCAATGGCTTCTAAAATAGAATACAAGAAGCTAAAGCAGAAAAAGAAAAGTAGATAAATCGGACCTCATCAAAATTAAAAACTTTTGTGCTTCAAAGAACACAATCGAGCAAGTGAAAAGATAACCTGGAGAAAATATTTGAAAATCTTATATCTAACAAATGTACTTGCATTTAGAATATATAAAGAACTTTTAGACCTCAATAAAAAAGACAACTTTAATTTAAAAATACACAAAGAATCTTAACAGTCCTCTCAAGAGTATATATAAATGGCCAATAAACACATGCAAAGAAGGTCAATAGCATTAGTCATCCGTGTAATGCAAATCAAAACCACAATGAGATATCACTTCACACCCACCAGGGTGGTATAATCAAAAAGACAACAACCAACTAAACTGTAACCTTCATAAGATGCAAAATAGTGTGATCATTTTTAAAAAACAGTTTGGCAGCTCTTTAAAAAGTTAAACATAGTTACCATATGACCCAGCACTCCTAGATATATATAACCAAGGGTAAGAAAAACAATCCACACAAAATCTTGTACACAAAATGGTCAGAGCAGAACTATTCATAATAGTCAAAAAGTAGAAATAACTCAAAATATCTCCCAAATGATGAACGGACAAAGGGTGGTATATCCACTCAAAGGAACACTAACTACTATATGCTAAATAAAATAAGCCATAGGAAGAGACCACATATTGCATGATTCTGTTCCCATGAAAAGTCCACCAGAGCTATCCATAGACAGTCTATCCATAGGTAAGTGGATGCCTAGAGCTGTGAGGAGGTACATGGAGAGCGACCATCAATGATGTCAGGGTTTCAGCTTGGAGTGATGAACATATTCTAAAATTGATTTGAATGACTTAAAGTAGAACTCTGTGAATATACTAAAACCATTGAGCTGGACACTTTAAATGGTGAACTATATGGTCTGTAAATTACATCTCAATAAAGTTGTTACAAAATAGGGAAGACTGTGTGTGTGTGTATGTGTGTGTGTGTGTGTGTACATTACATTCTTTGTTTCTATATTTATAAAAATCTCTCTGGAAAGATTCACAGGACATTGACAGCATCCAGTGAAGAAAATTAGGAAGATGAGGGACAAGGGCAAAAAGGAGATTTTTCAAGAGCGGGGTGATGGCACATGCCTATATTCCCAGCAACTCGGAAGGCTGAGGCAGGAGGATCTAGGTTCAAGGCCAGCTTCAGCAACTTAGCAAGGCCTAAGCGACTTAATGAAACCCTGTCTCAAAATTTAAAAATAAAAAGGGCTGGGGATGTAGCTCAGTGGTAAAGCACCCCTGGGTTCAATTTCCAGTATCAAAAAGAAAAGAAATGAAGGAGATTTCCCCCTCTGTGCTCTTTTGTTCTCTGTGCATTCTGAACCACATGAATATATTATCTGTTTTTAAAACAGGAAATAAATAAATTAAAATTCAGAGGAAGTAATTAAAATTAATTTCCAAGTGGGCCAGGTTGTGACCGGCCCTCCTGGCAGGGAACCTGCTCCCAGACAGAGTTCACCCAGGGGCTGCCTGTGGCCTCCTCAGTGTGGCTGCGCTTCACTTACCTGATCACTGCAAACCCAGAAACGCAGGCTGTTCCTTCACCTAACTGTTCCATGTTGAAGCCTCCTCAAATGGCTCTGCAGTTCCCAGCCCCGGGGTTCTGTTGAAACCACCCTACTTGACACAGCAGCACATGTGACCTCTAACATTTAGAAATCGTAATTTTAAAAAACAATGAAAAATGGAACATGGGTGGAGGGACTGAAGCAAGCAGCTGCTGTGAGTGCACATTGGGGGCAGGGTGACATGACAGGTGAGCTTCAACGCCAAGTGGTGGCACCCAGCATTCTGAGCACAGGCCTGTTTCGTCTTTGACCCCTGAGCTCTACTCTGCACCAACTCCTCAGAACATAAGAAATAACTGTGCCACCCCAAGAAAACCAACTACTTGACAAAAGGAAGAACAGGACCCCAAAACCTGCTTTCCAGCCCAGGCTTCCAGAAGAAGGTGCCAGAGGCCCCCAGAGCGTCCATGGGTTAGCCAGGGTCTCAGTGGCAAACCTGCCACCACCCACCACCAAGACATGCTCGCTTTCCCTCCCAACCTCCCTGCCCTGGGCATACAGTCCCCGGAGCTCCACCCAACACTTTCCCTTGAATGCAGATTCAACAGGCCACTAAGACAGGCAAACACCACTATGAGAGAAATCTCGCCTGCTCCACTGCGATGGGCATCTTCAGACAAATGCAACATCACGTGACACAAAGCACTTCCCTCCAGCGCAGTGAGTTACTTCAGGACTTCCACAGCCCAGCTCTGCCCTGACCCCACTGAGCCCTCTGGAACATGAAGCTGGAGAGCCTTCCAGATGTAACCACTCCTTACTCCTGTCTTGGAGCTGCTCTTTCCCTCCCCTCTGTGACCCCTCTGTCCCAGCACCCAGTACACACTCAAGCACAATGACTCAGAGTACTAGGTCCACAACTGAAACGCACCAGTGCCCTGTAGATGCAGGAAACCCATGAAGCAGAACTGGTATGAAATAAACACAGGTACAAACACAATGACAACTGGTGACCAACGCTCTGCCTTCAAGTCAAGGAAGCCTGAAGAGTGACACCATGCCCAGCCTAGAAGGGGCAGCAACTATGCAGCCCCTGTCCCTTGCTGCCCCATGAACCAGAGGCCCTGTACTTCCGAGTACCCCATCTGTCAAAAGAAGCAGGAGCTCCAGATTTTTATGGGAAGATTCCCAATTTTTAAGTATTCTCAACTATCTCAGTTTTTGTGATCACTGTGCTGATCAAAACAAAACACAAGAACATGTCTGTGGGTCATATTTTCCAACTCATGGGCCATCCGTTTACAAATTCTGACTCAGTTTCCGGGCCAATGTTTACTTGGTCATAAGTATGAGTGATATTTAATAATTCAGCTGAAATCTCATGAGCCCAGACAGATGTAGTGATACGCATGTTCAACCCGGGTCTCCCTTATCTCTCTTCCCCAGCAGTAATCGTGATCAGCAGACACTGGCCATTATTTACATAACCCAGATGCTTCCCCGTCCCCTGGCCTCAGGAATAACAAAGTGGTGCCCCTGTGACAGACCCCAACGTGGCATGCAGCACACAACACTGTGCTGCCGGGAGTTTCTGCTTCCTAGAGGATTGTACACCCTGAGCCAGCTGACCCCACGGAGCTCAACTTCAAGTCCTGGGGCTCTTTTTCATTACACTCCCGTGTTTCACTTCCATCTGCTCCCCATCCTGTTGCTCCTTCCCGCTCTCAATCCCTGAGGGATGGATCAACTCTCATCCTCCCAGACAAAGCCAGCACGCCCTGGGTTTGACCTGTTTGAAGAGCCATATGAAGGACAGCCACAGCCGGTGCCCCAAGTCCTGTTCCTCCAGTTGTCTGGTTGTTTGCACAGGGCTGGGCCCATTTGGTTTTTACATGAGGTGCCAGGTGAAGAGAAGCAAAATTTAAAGCAAAGAAGGCAGCCTCTAAGGACAGCTTCCTTGGTTTAAGGACAGCAATGACCAAGAGGGACCCTTTATAGGACCCAGGGCAACTGGAAGCTCTGGGGTCACTGTGCTTTGAAATATACATTATAAATGGCCCTTTAAGGTCCACATCCCTGCCCATGGCAAGGGAGGCATGGCACGACCAGTCCTCACCACCCACTCCTGCAAGCTCCACCACTTCTCAGCAGATACTGCCAAGCCCTCCCAAGCCCAGAGGTCCAGCTGCATCCACACAGATCTTCCCTGCACTTCATCTTCTTCCTCATCAAGCCTTCCGGCCTGCCAGCCCCTTCACAAAGCCCCTTTCTCCAGGCCTTTCAACTCACCGGACACTTTCCTCTTTCTTCTCTTCATCCACGTGGGCCTCCCGGCCTCCAGTCCTCCTGACTGGTTCTTCCCACACCTTCCCTGGGTGTCCCCAACCAGACTACACCCCCATCAGAGCCATGTCACTATCTATCTACTTGCTCAGCAAATATTTATGAAGACCTAAACTGGAACAGCATTTCTAATTCAGCCCTTTGGTTATTTCACTCTTGTATTCAAATCCCCCACTCGCTCCCTCCAAAGCACCAAATACTCTGGCTGGAACTGGCATCCTCCAAAATCTGCTGCAACAGAGGAAGGGAGAGTCAGTCCCCTCCCCTTCCCCAACTGTGTGGCCTTGACCAAGACACTTCATCACTCTGTGCCTTGGTTCACTCAACTGAAAAATGGGGACCCCCAAGAGACCACCCTTCACAGGAGCCAGGAAAAAAAAATGCTCAGCACAGAGCCTGGTACTGTGAGGGCTTACTAAATATTGGTTGCTATTATTATCAATGTCATCATGATGATCTCCAAGTGATCACTTCTGCAAAGTCTACTCCTAGCAAAACCCACTTCCCCCATCCAGCCTAGAACATCCTCATCCCCCACAGTGCCTTCCCACACCATTCTGTCCCTGGCCCAAGTCTGTGGCATGCTTTCTGTTTATCAAGTGTTGTTTTGGATGCATGCCTCCCCTTCTGAATGGGAATGGCTTCTCTTGTGACAAGAAGAGCCATTCAAAGGCATCATCCTCCCTCCCAGACTGAACTGGACACTTCTGGGCCTCCATCCAGCACAGCTCCCTGTGTTCATTAGGAAGAACCCTGCCCACTCAACCATGATTTCTCCTAGGTGCTGACTGTGTGGTGCTGACACTCTTCTTGCAAACCCCTGGGTGACCTTAACAAACCATCCCCACTTCTGGGCCTCCGTTTCCTCATCTGTACAATGTGGGGGTGGGGGTGAGTTTGAGGAGCTCTGAATATGAAGAAAGCCCACAGCTAAGAGGTTATAGGACCCCAGAGCCCCATGGCTGGAACAACCATGCTCTTAAGCCATACCTGCCAGCAAGAATGGGCTTCCTCTTCCCTGCACCTCCAGGAAAATAAATATCAAGGCTAGTTTCCTGGAAGACGGCCCTTAGATTAAGTAGAGATTTTTTTTTAAGTGGAACCATAACAAAATAATTCTAAATGCATGCTTCCAGAACTTCCCTTGAAAATGGTTAGATCCAAACATCAGTCACAAAACTAAAGAACCCAGTATAACCCAGGAAGCCTTCTCTGCTCAAATCCTGAAGCAGACAATCGCCCCTGATAAATCCTGCAGGATGCTCTGTGGACACTGACATTGAGGCCCCTCCGCAGGCCCTCCCACCCCCACTTACTCCTCAATGTGCCTGGTGTTACAAGAAAGGGCCTGTGTTTGCAAAAACCCTGGAATGAAAAGAATACATGGGCATGAGACTATGGCCAAGCCCTATAAGCCAGAGGGCTCAGGGTTAAATTAAAGAGGGGTTTTTCTCCCTTTTCAATTTGATAGAAGGATTCAGTGGCAGGTGCCAGGTCCTCACCAGCCTGCTAATAAGGGCAGTCATGAGACATGTTCTTCATCAGAGAGCTGAAGAGTCAAAGCAGCTCACAAGGCTGAAGTTCATGGATCTCATTTGAAAAAGCCTAAGAGGCAGAGGCACCTGTCTGATTATTTTGGTCATATGGCTGATCCTTACTTATGAGCAGAAGATTAAAAGGTTTGGTAAGAATCACATCTGTTTTCAGAATCATATTTTTAAATACAATAGGACACTTGGCTGCTTAAAGGAGAGCCAGGGACTTGATTGACACAATCTTTTTTTTTTTTTAATTTATTTTTTAGTCGTAGTTGGACACAATACCTTTATTTTATTTATTTTTTTATGTGATAGTGAGGATCGAACCCGGGTGCTTGCTAGGTAAGCACTCTACCACTGAGCCACAACCTCAGCCCCAACACAATCTTATTCTAAATGTCCCAACAGTCCTTGGAAGCATGTACTGTAATTAATGATAGGAAACGAATGTCCAGTAAGGTTCAAAAAACTGCTCACATCAGACAACCAGAAGGTCTTAAAGCCAGGATCCAAGAGTTTCTCAACCCCCAAACCCTTGATGTTTGTGGCTGTAATTCTTTGGGGGTTGTCCTGTACACTGTAGGGTGCTGAACAGCATCCTGGCCTCTACTCAATAGATACCAATAGTAATCTTCCCCCTACCCCACCACCCCCAGTCCTGCCAATCAGAAAGTTCTCTGGGCATAGCCAAATGACACTTGGGGCAAAAATCCTCCCCAGTTAGGGAAACTTTTTCCTTCCATGTGCCATGATCATTTAGAGAACTAATCAAAGGCACACTTTCTATTCTTTAAAAAAAAATCTGGATTTTTCCTGAATCAGATTTAACATTTCTTCACTGTATATATATATATATAAAATTGAAAGTGAAAGAAGATGAGCATGTACCATTTCTACAGTTTTCTCCTTCAACTCAAAGCCTTGGTCAACACTCAGAAATGACCTACTGATGATCAACAAGTTCCACATTCTCTTTCAAACTCAGAAGAAGAGGCTGAATCTTCTAACCATAGCTCCACCCAAAGCTCTAATTCATTCAAATTACATTGACATACTAATGATCAATAACTAGAATCATCCCAAAATCCAAAATGACCACCTCCCCTAAATGCTAGAGGTACTAAACTTTTATATTAAATGACTTTTCTTATTATCACAAATGAACACACATCACAGAAAACCTGGGGAACCCAAGGTAAGTAAGAAACTTCTCTAAGACCCGGCTCAGCAAATCAAGCCTCTGTGGTATCAATGTCTTCAGGCGCCTTTGCCACCAGCAGCCGGGCAATGTCAGATTACCCAGAATTTACCCTCCTGAACCCTGCAGAAGCACCAGAATGAATCCTCCTTTCAGATAAGATGATTTTAGAGATATTTGGAAATAAGAAGTGGCTGGGTGTGCAACCCAGGGAGATGTGAGAGAAATGGAGGCTGCACAGCAAACACAAGTGACCCACCAAACCTGGAAAAGGAAAGCTGTGGTTTCAACATGGCAAACTTTCCCTGGCTTCCCCCAACCCCATTTAGAAGACACCAGAGGGTGAAGTGGCATTTGACCCCCCCCACACACACACACACACACATCCCATCCCAGAACTTAAAGAGTAAAGTGTTCTAAGGAAACTCCTGGGGAGAAAGGCCTGATAAGAGCAGTTACTTGCCTACAGGCGACAGCCTGGCATCTGTGCAACCCCACCAAATGTTTCCCAGTATTTAAAAAAATTAGGAGAAATCCCAATTTTCTGCTCCAATACACAGCCTCTTTGTTGACACCCCATCAGCTCTCCTTAAGGTACCAAGCAGTAGACACAGGGGATCCCATCAGAGGGTACACTACCTCCAGACCACCTTTCCCTCCTTCCAGTTTGATCCCCCGTCTTAAAAGGTGGAAATGATTCTGCAGACAGGGAAATAAGATTAAGTAGTATAGCAAGAAACACTTGCTCAACCTCAAAGAATAAATTTTTAAAAATACAAAACAGAGCAATGATTTGTTTTTGGTTTTGGGTTTTTTTGTTTGTTTGTTTGTTTGTTTGTTTTGTAGAACTGGGGCATTCTACCACTGAACTACAGCCCCAGCCCTTTTTTTAATATTTTATTTGGAGACAGGGTCTTGCTAAGTTGCCTAGGCTGGCCTCAAACTTGCTCCTGCCTCAGCCTCCCAGAGCCCTGGGAGCACAAGGGTGCACCAGAGGTGCCCAGCTAAGACAGAGCAATGAGATACCAAATTATACTCATCTGATGGAAAAGCATCAGAAAGTGAGGTAATAAGTATCAGATACAATGTGAGGGTCTAAGAACTAAGAGCATGGTAAGTAGGAGGGCACACTAGTATCTACTAAAGGAATTCCCATGCATGCACCAGAAACCCCATTCCCAGGTACATACACTAGATGCTCTCATATACCTCAGATCCTCAGCAGGACATGTCCAAGGATGCAGGCAAGTTAAGTGTGCACACAGGGAAGGAAATCAGGCTACATGTTGCAGACAATGCAGAAATGTGTCATGAATGATAAATACATTATAAAGGAAGAATCACCCACACTTACATACATGCACATATACTAACAGATTTCTTTGCATATCTGTATATGTACATATTTATAATTTACTTATTGAAATGAGCTCATATTACCCAGGTTGTTTTGTAACCTGTTTTACTCAAAAATATACAGCCAATATTATATCAGTGACATTATTTTTAACAGCTGTTAAAACCAGATTATCATCATTTACCAAATCAATGCTAAATGGTGGATACAAAGGTTATTTAAACTTTTTCACTATCAAACAGAACTGCTCCGAAAATGCCAAGATGCACACGCATTTTGGTTTCTTCTTCTAATCATTAACATTAGAAGCAAAGAATATATGTTGCAGTGTCCACTTTAGCAATGGAATTTTCTGATTAAAGATTTATATATTTTTCACTATAATATGTATTCTTTGCTTCTAATTTTAATGGTTTTCTTGGATCCATGTTTTTTCTGTAGTCTGACAAAGTGGCTCCTTCAGGGAAAACAGACAAATAGGCTAGGACTGCCACTTTATAAGCAATAATGCTACACTCTTCCCCCTCCATCTATGCCATGAGGATAATGAATGGGCATCACCCAAATTCCCATCTCACAGGTGTCCTATATCAGCCATTCATCTATTCATGGTAGACATCCTATTCTACATCAGCAATGGAAAACAGTTGGGAGTTCAACGTTCTTTTGCTAAAAATATCTTTATTAAATGCCAGCCTGTGGCTGGAACCACACCAGGTGTTAGAGAGACACAGAAGATTAAGGCCATCCCTGCTCTCAGGAGCCTTCAGCCTGGTAAGTCAGAGGGACAGTTCAGCAACCCTCTGGGCTCCCAGGAGAAAATTTAAAAATGAGGTGTGCATCAGGAGCTCAGAAGGCCCTGAGGGAGGCTCAGACAAGGAAACACAGGAGGGAAAACAGCATGCTAGCATACTGGTGGTAGAGAGGATTGCAGGCAAGATTCTGAATGGGACAAGACACTCAGGCCACATGGTCCCCTTGGAGAACCCCTG